CAGGTGCACTGAGAGGCCTGCCCAGGTTGCCCAGGTCCCCTCGGGAGCCCGACACAGTGAGCCATGCCTGTGAGTGCTCGAAATCCTTTGTGGAAGAAACGATGGCCTGGCTGCATGCAGGGCGCTGTGTCCTGAGTGCTCGTGAGCTTTAACACTTACTGCTCAAAAGTCAGATGGGAGAAAAGGGTTGCATGATTCTCAGAACACCCCCAGAGGCAAATATGAACCATCAGATCCTCAAACCCAGCCTCCCTCAGCAAGAATATAGGATCAGATTGGCATTTGGGGGAAACTCCTCTGGATGCCTGGGGTAGCCGCATGGGATGGGAGGGCAAGGGTGGATATAGGAGAACCAGGGGGGAGGCAATTTTTAAAGGCGCAGGTTTGGGGAGATGAGGGCCGCTTGGGCAAAGGTGGAGAGGTGAACAGGGAAAGAAGGACGCGGCTTTCAGGGCTGCCGAGAAGGTCAGTAGACAGGACTCCCTGACCCTTGGAGGTTGTCAGGGAAGAATCAGGAACGACACCTAGTGTCTAGTAAGCACTACCAGACTGAAGGGGGCGCTGCCCCTGATATGGGGTCCTGGGAGGGAGATCATTTTGGAGGGGAGTCCCTTGGATTCAATTTTTAACAACTTGGATTTGAGGGACCACCAAGACGTCTAAGAATTAGCCCAGATTTGAATCCCTGAGCATATACTGACAGGATTATCTGGGCAAGACTCCCTCACCCCTTCGAGTCTCAGTTTCCCCATCTGCAAAATGGAGTATCTCACCAGGTGATTGTGAAGACCCTATATGGGAATGTGTGCAACTTGCCCAACCCAGAGCCAGGCACCATGAGGAGAAAATGCCTGTCTCTACTATACTCTGTCAGATACACACAGGGCTACACAAGACAAATTGGCTTTACCAGACAAAGAATTTACTGTTTCTGTAACTGAAATCTATGGAGTAGATCTGACTTCCCTGGGCTGCATCTGAGGATCAAGTATTCTCACAAGGACTTCATATGTCCCTCACGCACCTCCTTTTCACAGTGGTCAATGGCTCAGCAAATCCACTAAGGTGGGAGGGGGGCAGTGCCTTTTCCTATAGTTCTGGCAGTAAAGACTGTTCAGAGAAGATTCCGATTGGCCCAGCTTGGTCATGTGCCTGCCCCAGAGCCAGTCACTGTGGCCAGGCCTGGGTCACACAACTTTCCCCTGTGGCATGGCTCTCTGTTAGTGACTAAGATGGAAGCAGTCCAATCAAAACAAGAGGATGTCCATCACGTTCTCGGTCTGTCCAATGGGAGTTTCAGGATGGCAGGGGATAGAGTATATGGCACAATAGCCAAGACATGGAAGTAACCTAAATATCCAATGACAGATGAATGGACAGAGAAAATATGGTACCTACATACAATGGAATATTATTCAGCCATAAGAAGAAGGAAACCCTGTCATATATGTGAGTACATGGATGAATCTGGCTGACGTTATGCTGAGTAAAATAAGCCGGTCACTGAAGGACAGTATACTTACTGCATGATTCCACTTATTATGAAGTACCTAAAATCGTCACTTTCACGGAACCAGGGGCTGGGAGGAGGGAGAAATGAGGAGACACTGGCCAAGGGATATAGTTTCATTTATGCAAAGTAAGTTTTGGAGATCTAACGTACAGCATGTGATGATAGTTAGCATTGTATTGTGTACTTAAAATTTTGCTAAGAGGGTAGATCTTACGTTAAATGTTCTGACAAAAATAAGACTAATGAAAAGGGCAGGAGGAAACTTCGGGAGGTGAGGGATACATTTATTGCATAGATTTTGGTGATGGTTTCACAGGTATATGAGTATGTCCAAAGTTATCAAGTTTTATACATTAAATATATACAATTTTGGAAGTCGATCGTATCTCAATAAAGTGGTCTAAAAAATAAAAATTAAGTCTGTGGTGCCCAATAGGAACTCAGTGCAGGGTGGCTGTTTGCATTAGACTTCTGGAGGTGAAGCCCCAGAATGGCCCTCCAGCCACGTGTTTTGAAGTCCTTTACAAATGTGGTCTCTACCTCAAGAACCCCACTCTTTGGCACCCACTTTTCCTCAGCTGCCTCCAGTCTGGCAGCGCATCATGCTGGAGTCCATGGTCAGCCAAGAATGGGCCCAGGGCACCTGTGTCACTGACCCCCACCAGGCAACCCTATTACTCCAGGGGACAGAAGCCCAACACTCCCTGATAGCCCGCAACCCAGAGAGAGGCCGCCGCGATCAAGAAAACAGGTTTTTCAGTTAGACAAAGATCTTTGCGGATCCTAGTCAGAGAGAAAATGCCAGAACCCCCCCAGGGCAAGCTGCGATGTGGATGCGTCTTTCGGCAGTCTGCTCGTGATTGGAGCTGCCCAGGAGCTCCCTGCCAATTGGCATGGGCGCTGTGGGACCTGGAACTTTATAGCTTAGCAACGAGAAATCTGGAGAAACTCTGGAATTAATCTAAGGAAAGGGGAAGGAAAACCAAGAAGGTAATTAGTAGTCAAGTGATCAGGCTGCACGGTCTTATTATTACCTTTTCGGCCAAGGAGAGTCATGAACATTTTCAGCATTAATTATGAGCAGAGAGGAAACCAGCCAGCTCTCTTGTCTCAAACTCTGGGGCTAATGCTTTGTTTTGTTTTGGTTTTGTTTTGTTTTTTGTGAGCTGGTGCTCGGGTAGGAGTGTCAACAGAGCCAAGAAAGAGCGTACAGACAGGTATAATAATTAAGGGAAAAACACACCCGCTCCTGGCTGCCACAGCTCCTTCCGGGAGCCTCTTGGCTACTAGTCTTTTTTGGGGGATCATCTTCTGTCACACGACGTCATGGACCAGCCTGACGGAACTGGAGGTCAGGGTAGCTGTAAAGGCTTTCTGTAATTTCACATGGAGGCCTGGTTGGAGGTGACGGTGTCGCTGGTTGGTCCATGCGATGACAGTTTATTGAGTACCATTCATGTGTCCCCTCACTGAGTCAGGGGCTGTAAAACAGAAGGGAGCAACACACCCCTGTCCTTGTGGGATGAGAGTCTACCCAGGGTGGGAGAGACTAGATATTCATAATCAGTTAATTATATGAATAGCTATGTGACCACAACTGTGCTGATTCTGTGGAAGAAAAGGGTGGGATGCCAGGGAAGGGGTATGTGGGTTAGGGAGGGTGCGCTTAGAAGGTCTCTGGCCACCGTGGTCCTGCTTGGACTCGTAGCAGGAGGGTGGGTTCAAGAGGGAGGCTGGACAGCTGGCCTGGGCAAGCCCACCAAGGGGGCCTCCTGGGCCTGCAAAATTTAGAGTTTGTCCAAAAGCAATGGGGAAAATGAGAAACTATTTAGGCTTGTAAACTTAGGCATGAGGCAACTAGACTGACAACTCTAGATGTTGGGTGCAGGGGCAGACTGAAGAGGTATAAGGAAGGGTGCTGGCGATGGGCCATTTCAGAGGCCACTGGGATGGTATGTGGGTGGTACCCCAAGGGACCGCAGCTGTGAAATCGCGCGCTTCTATCGGGCCTTGGTGGTGGTTCTCCTCGGACAGCTCCATCCCAGGGCCTTGTGTCCTGGAAAACATCTATTTAGACCCCTCACTATGAGACGGTGTGACCAACTCATCCTGGTTAGCCCAGGACTTTCCTGGTTTTAGCTCCCAAGTCCCCAGTCCCAGGACAACCTGGAATGGTTGGTCACCATGCTCTGGGACAGGATTAAATGGGGCAGTAAGAGTCAGCTCCTCTCACTGCACGGAGCTTCCCTTCACCTTCTCCTCAAGCAAGCTAAATACAGGCTTAGCAGCTAATTCACTGTGTGGCCCAGGACAAATTTCTTGGCCTCTCTGGGCCACTATTTTCTCATTTGTAAAATGGAGTTTGACCTGGAGAGCGCGTTGGCCTCCTGATTTCCTGGCCCTGAAGTTGTACTTCAAAGCTTAATCGACACAGAGGGCCTGCCTACTGTAGAAGACGGGGCCCGGGCACCCACGGTACAGGTCAAACTCCGTCGCTCCGTGCTTACTTTTCTCCTCCACAAAATGGGAATTATAGTACTTACCATGTGGAAGAGTGAGCACTAAGTTAAGTGAAATTATTCTATGCTCATATAGCTGGATAATCAGCAGCTGGAAAGTGTGGATTTTCTGGTTAATGTATGATTGAGAGGTATGATATTTCCTAAGCAGAGGCTGCCAGTTTTAAAAAAAAAATAGGACTTGACTAAGCACTCTTACCTCTCAAATATTTTAACATGTGCTTTACCATGGTACTTATACTCTGTTGAGATTGATGTTCTGAGTGTCTAGTTCCATGTGGTGGAGATTAGATCCTTTTTGCCACTGTCTCTCCCTCACCTATAATATTTACTGAGTTTGTTGAGGTCACACTGTGTCCATTTTACAGATGAGAAAAGTGAGGCTCAGGATGGTTAAATGTCCTGCTTGTAAGCGGTAAAGTCAGAATTTGAAGCTGAATCTGATTCAGGGTCCTGTTCTCTCCACTAATGGACCTCCATTTCCTCAGGGGCAGCATAGGGAGGACAAGGGTGATGGGTGCCCCCTGGGAAGATCTGACTAGGGCTAAAGGAAGCAGCTATGGTGGGCCTAGCAGGACACTGGCAGCCTGGCTCTATCCTTATGAGAATAGGGACCTTTTGGATGCCGCTGTCTCTCTCACCTCACTGGTTGCCTTGGAGACAGGAGGAGGAAGAGGGTGTGTGTGTGCATGTGTGCGCGTGCGCATGCTGAGGTGTATCTTGAATCTGCTACCCAGGTTTGCCTCAAAGATGCCAGCAGTGGGTGGGCAGACCAATCCAATACCCTTGAGAGAAGGGAGGGAAAAGGCTGGTCTTCACTTTTTTAATGTCTTTTTATTATGAAAAACTTTAAGCATACACACAGAGTATAAAATACAATGAACCCCAGCTACCCGTCACTCAACTTTAACAATCACCAGCTCTCAGCCAGTCTGCTTCCATCTATATCCCTTCCCACTCCCTCATCTCGTATCTTTAGAAGCAAAATCCAGACAGCAATCATTTCTTTTGCGAATATTTTAGTATATGACTCCATTATCACCCCTACTAAAACTAACAGTCATGCTTTAAGATCAGCAAGTATCTAGCCAGTGTTTGAATTTCTTTGGTTGTCTCATAATTGCTTTCTTTATAGTTGGTTAAAATTAGGATCCATACAAGTTTCATCCATTGTGATTGGTTGATAGGTCTCTTGGGTCTTTCTCAATCTGGAGGTTCTCTCACCCTTTTTTTTCTTCCCTTGTAATGTCTTTGTTGAGAAACTGGGTTGGTTGTTCTGTAGAGCGTCCTACAGTCTGGATTTTGCTTATTGCGTCACTATATTAATATTATACATGTTCATCTCCCCCTTATATTTCTTGTAAGTCATCAGTTAGATCTGTAAGATACTTGGATTAATTCTTGGTTTTGTGAGTGTGTATGTTTATGAGGACTTCCGAGTGGCTGTTTTGTATCTCCATTTGAAGGCACATAAGGTCTTGCGATGTCAGCAGCATTGATGATCACTGTCCAGATCCATTAGAGGGGGCAAAATGGCGGCAAATAAATTTTATCCATCTTTGTTAGCTGGAATATTTCTATCAAAAGAACCTTCCAGGAAAGAGAAATGCTTGATTCTTTCCCTTTGACAGTTTTCAAAATAATGAGTTGGTTTTCAACGTCCTCTGAAGATGACAAATGTTTATGTCTTTTTTCTAAGTGTCATTGTGAACTCATAGATTCGGACATATACAACACATTTCAGTCCAGGGCAGCTATTATTCTTATTGATGCTGAAACTGTCCCGTCTTTGGCCAGCCGCCCTATCACACTGTCCTCTTCACCTTTTCTGACATGACCCCAGGAACCTTTGAGAGTTTCCATGCTACCTGGATGACAGATGTTTGGGGCTCATTTTGTACGCATCCGGACTTGGAATTGGCTGTATCTGCACTGAACGCTGATTTCTTGCTAGAAGTGGTATTTAGAGACCCTAATCGGAACGCTGGCAGTGCTCTCTGCTGAATTGTTCATTATTCCTAACTTTTTCTGTGGACAGAGCTAGGAAACATGCTTTATTCTGTAAGGCAAATCATGACATGAGTTCATCCTGGTGCTTCCAATCCCAGTTTGGGACTGCAGGTCCCACGTTGTCTCTGTGATCGTACATCCCCATCTCCTTTCTTCCACAACAATGTGACAAGGCCTGTTTCTGAAAGCGGAGCTCCTCATTGTGTCTCCTATCAAGCAGGAAACGTATGAAAAAGCACTTAAGTCTTTTCTTCAGAAATGAATCTGAGCTGTCTGATGAAAGGCTTACATGTGGCCCTGGGGGAAGGCCACATCTGGGACCACAAGGGACCACATTCTCCTGGCAGATGAATCTGTTCTTTCCCTCATGCTGTGTGGACCGTCTTATCTAGCTGCTCTCAATCCTGGCTGTCCACATGGGGAATTATAAAAAACCCTTATGCCTGTCTCCCCAACCCCAAATCACTGTTAAGTCAGAATCTCCAGGGCCAGGACCCTATCATCAATATTTTTTTAAAAAACAGTTCAGATAATTTGAATGTGCAGCCAGGGTTTACAATCACAGCTCTAGTCTTTACATCTCAGCCAAAGGAAGTGAAGAAAGAAGCAAGGGGTAATGATAGGAAAGTGCTGCCTTCGAAGCCCACTGGCTCGGTTTGAATTCTAGCACTGCCAGTTTCTACCTGTGAAACTCTGGGATAACACTAGTCACTAAAACTTTCCACAGTCATCCAAATGGTCTATGTCTACAATGTCCAATGTGGTATCCAGTAGCCACACAAGTGGGTGGGCACTTGAACCAGTTACTAGTGCAAACTAGGAAGATAATTTTTCAATTTTGAACTAATTTAGACATAAGCAGCCACAAGCGGCTCGTAGCTACTGACTTGGACAATGCCATTCTGGAAATTTATTTAACACCTAGAAACCTCATATCTTTAAAATAGAGGCTAATAAAGAGTTACTTCATTGGGCTGTTGTCAGGATTAGAGACAACATATATTAAGTGCCTGGGTGCTCAAGGCATTCAATAAAATGCCACTTATTCCCTTATTAACGTCAGCCTTTCATTCTTTAAAAAAAAAAAAATTGCCTGGTAAAATGAGTGCTGAGAAGCACCCTACCATGGAGACAAAAAATTCTAAGCTGTTCCAGAAAAATCCTTGGAAAATATTCCTTAATTGTCAAGTTCAATTGCAGCAGGAGGTTATCAGTTGCAAGGGCTGTATTTCATTACAGATCTTGCCACAGCTCAATAAATTAAGCAATCACTCACAATAACATGTTGCTTTAATCCCCTCTTGGAACAGTTTCAAGTTGTTTGGTTTTTATATTAGCACAGCACTTGAAAGGCAACTCACATTGGCCTCGTTTCTTTTGCCTCAATTCATCAGCTCCTCTGGATATATCTTTGCGTCTCCTACCAGCAGGAGGGAGGATTCGAGGCAGAGCAGACCTCCTTTTATCAAAAGTGGAGCGTTTTCTATCCTCTGGTCTTTACACAGTCTGTGTTTCACTCGCTGAAATTACTGGCAGGTTTATCTGCAACTAAGACAGAAAGCAACACCTCTTAGCAGCCCAGATCTGGATGCATAAAGCTAACTTGCCGTGGCTTTTCCATTCTCCTCTTCTCTCTAGTGGTTTGTAATCTCACAGTAGAATTTCATTTCCCCGAGAAACTTGGCACCAGAGGTGTCAGCCCGGGAACATATTTGTTTGTGTAAATTAAAAGAAAAATATGTTTTGACCATATTTAAGTTCTAACTGTACTAAAGAAATAAATAGTGGGTTACACAACACTTCTCACTGCATGGTCCTGGCTCACCTCCCCAAACTCTGCCTTCATTTGTAAAACCCAAGATAACCAGAACTCTGAATAGCTTATTGCTTCAGAGAGCGACAGGGATGACCTCGGAGGCTGTGTCCACCCCTACCCAGGCCCACATGGAAAGTCTACTTACCTCACTTGGGGTTTGCTTCCCCTGACACACTGCATCCTTGCCAGGGTGTGCGAGGGGGCTGGACACAGGCACCCTCACACGTGCCTTGTTGCTGGGTGTGGGATGAAACCACCTGTTTGAAGGGCCCTAGGCAATAGCTGTAGAAATTAAAAAGGCACATACCCTCTGATTGAGAGGTTCCATTTCTAGCAATGTGTCTTATGAGTATATTCGGACATATGCCAAAGAACATATATAACAGCGAAATCTAGGAGTGAACTGAAATGTGGGCCACTGAGGGGACAGATTAAGTAGGTGCAACACTAGAAGTCACTAGAAAGAATGAAGTGGGTGGGAGGGCTATCCTGTCTTCATGATATATTATAACACCCCCTAATTTTCTTAATGTTATGAGGCAAAAAAGTATAGGCACTTGAATATGCTTAGAAAATTTATGAAGATTGTGCAAGCTACCTATAGTGGTCACTGTTTAGAAAGTGCAACTGGGGTTAAAGAAAAATTGCAAAGGGTCTCCTTTGTTTCCCACATTCTACTCTTCTGCACTTTTTTTCCTTATCTTAAACATGCTATTATTTTTTAAAATTGGGGTAATTAAAAAAACCAAAGACAGTGTTTTAAAAATCACTTCTACACTCTGGAGCAACATAATACAAAAATAATACTCTTTTCATTATATTAGCTGTCAGGCCAATGGAGTGGTGGTGGAAATCTTTCCTTTTCAGGTCTTTGTGCAAATAACTAGTAGTGGGCTAAATGGTGGTCCCCAGAGAGATAAGGTATGTTCATTTCCCAATCCCTGGAACCTGTGAATATCACCTTGATAACAAAGATGTGACTAAGTTAAGGGTCTTGAGAGGAGTTGCTTATCCTGAATTATCCAGATGGGCATTAAATGCAATCTCATATGCAGTTTTATAAGACAGAAGAAGAGACAGACACAGAGAGAAAAATATATGGAGACAGAGGCAGAGATTGGAGCGATGTGGCTACAAGTCGAAGAACACCGAAGCCACCAGAAGTTAGAAGACGTAAGGAACAGATTTTCCCCTGGAGCACATGGCGGGAGCGCAGGCCTGCCAGATTTTGGACTTCTAGTCTCCAGGACTGTGAAATAGTAAGTTTTTGTTGTTTTAAGCTACTAAGTTTGTAGTTTAGTTGACATTTGAACGATGTAGAGGTTAGGGATGTGACCTCCTGCACCGTCAAAAATCCATGTATAATATTTGACTTCCCAAAACTTAGTTGTCCCTCAGTATCCTCAGGGGGTTGGTTCCAGGACCTCCCATGGACACCCAGATCTGCAGGTGTTCAAGTCCCGCATATCAAACTACGTCCATCAGTGCGTGCAGTCAGCCCTCTGCATCCGTGGATGCCCAACCACAGACTGAAAACAGTACAGGTACTTATTGAAACAGAATGTGTGTAAGTGGACCCCTGCTGTTCAAACCCATGTTGTTCAAGGGTCAACTGTCATGTTACAGCAGCCCTAGGAAACAAATATATCACTGATATTCACTACACCTGTAAAATGTATGCGGTGCCTAGGACTTTTAAGAAACAAGTTTGGTAGAACTGGGGTTTCGACAAACACAAAGAATTAGTATATTCATCCTAAATATATTTATTGAGCATCTACTAGGTGACAGGCAGAGCTCCAGGTGCTGAGGATACAGCAGAGAACAAAACAAAGATGCCTGCTCACCTTGAGATGACATTTCAGAGAGAGAGAGAGAGAGAAAGTGAAATAAATGGAACATAGGGAAGAACTGAAGGTAGTAGAAGGTGCTAAAGAGAGTGAGAAAGCATAGAAAATGGAAGGGGCCAGGAAGGGGACTGGGAGAATGCAGTTTACTGGGAAGGTGACATTGGAGTAGAGGAAACCAACACATAACTTGACCTTCTGAGTGACTCATTCATTGGACCAGAATACATAGGAATAGGCTTCCCCTCCTCCCCTCCTTTTTCCTTCCCTGACTTCCTCCTTCCCACACTTGCTGCCTCCCTGTTGTGTGCCAGCAGCTGGGGGTGGAAAGATGAGTGGGACCCAGGTCCCCATGCTCATGCTCCCCACTCATGGGGGCGAACCGTCATCCACAAATCATTATAAATATACCATGGGCATCAGAGCAGAGGCCAGGGCAAGCTTCATGCTCTGTCCATGGTGCGGAACAGGGCCGGAGAGGTGTGTGTGTTGGGGATGAAGTCGAGATGGAGGCAGTCGGGAGTAGGGTGGGAGTGGTGAGCGCTTTGTCAGTGGGAAGCTAATTGGGAGGGGCTAATTGGGAGAAGCGTCTGGGGATTCCTTTATTCTCCAGTCCAGCAAGCACCCCTAGGGGAGAATGAGTTTTGAGGACAGCCTACTCCTTTCAGTTTCACACAATCCACGGAGACAGAAAGAGTCCCCAGGTCTGCAACTGGGATATTTTGGGCCACAAAGAAATCAGAGATCATCTTATCAGGGTAAAAATGGGTGATTTATTCACTCGGGTGGCCGTGATGAAGAAAGGGAGAGCCTGAGCTGCTCTTAGATCCCAGGACTGGGGGGCGCTCGGATCAGAACGCAGCACAAGTCTCTCTCGTACTCCCCCACTTCCATTCCTCTCATTTCTCCTCCTCTCTGCTTATTGGCCTCAGTGTCCGGGGCCACCAGTAGCTCTGGACACTGGAGAAAAAGCAACCGTCCCACCGCATCCAGTTAGGACAATCGTGAATTGGCCCTGCTTGGGTCACCTGACCACGCCTGGACCAATCGCTGCGGTTGGGGCTCCGAAGTCGGAGTGATTGGTGGGGGTATCCGGTCATGTGTCCACACCTGGGCCAATTACTGTAGCTGAGGGATGGGTGTTATGAGCGGCCATGTTCCGCCTCGTTCCCACTGGGGATCCCGTCTGTTACCGGAAGTGGGGGGGAAAGTGCTGGCAGGAAAACAAACGAAAGCAGGGCCACCTACCTCCCAAGCCTTCTCCTGCGGGTGTTGCTCCTACATTCACTCTGCTGAGCTGGGCTTTGCTTTAAGAATCACTCCCGCTGTCTGTAAAGCCCAAAGCTGCCAGAATTCACTTAGACCTTATTGGTGTAGTTTTTTGTAATTGTTACATTACTTTAATCACACTTAAAATGTTTTATTTTTGGTTTATGATTGCCGCTCCTGCTCTGTGGGGAGGAACTATGTCTGTCTTGTTGGTTACTATATTGCTCAAGCCCAGTACACAGCCCCTTATGCATAGTAGGTACTCAAGTAATTGGATGTATGAATGAACACTCGGTCATTCATTGAATGTCCCACAGAGCAAAGGAGGAGCTGCAACATCCTCATGTGTTCTCTCCTCAATGAGTCCTTCTCCTCCCTCTTCCCAGATGTGTTGTATACCCGTTCATGACAAGGTTGTTAGTGGAAGTGCATCCGTGGGTGTCATCCTGAATCTCTGAAGGCTCTGAATCTCTGGATGAATTCGTGGGTTGAGAGTCTAGGTAAGTGCAGGAAATAAGGTTCAACTGGTTGGTAGAGGCTACTCTTTGAGAACGATAATGGAGCTCTGTCTGTGCGGGGACAGACTGGGTGCTGTGCCTGGTTGCCAATGTCTGCCATGGCCACCTGCCGCGAAGGGGCATTTCTGGTCCCCTGCTGCTCTGGTTGTTTGCTAACCAGCGGGCCTCTGTTCTGAGGACTGCAGCCCTGTCTTCTGCTGTGATATCAAAGTACACTCAGAGTCCAGGGCACGATGGTGTGGCCAAGTCAAACAACTGTAGGCTCTTAGGGGAGAAGGCTTAAGACAAATGGCTATTTTTTAAAAGTACTTATAACCTACATGTCAGCTGGGGTCATCTTATTTTTGGAGATTCAAATGCAGTGGGTTTGAACCCTGTCCCACATGGCATGGGAGACCCAACTCTCCTTGGAACCTTTCCAGGAATTGGGGGTAAGGGATACCTAGGTCTCTCCTAGGCACCAAAGGCTCTAAATTCCTGTGTCCAATGAATCAGTTCTGCTTGGGCAGCCTTTTGCTGACCTCATGGGTATGTGACCTGTGCAGTTACACAGGGCCAACATTTGCTTTTATGCTCTGCTGTTGTCATCTTAAACTTATTAATAATTTTTGAATAAAGGGCTCCACACTTTCATTTTGCAAATTATGTAGCAAGTCCTTTTTCACTCAGGAACTATTCCCTTCCCACCCCACGCTGACCCACTCTAGAGTCTGCCCCAATTCCTCCATTCTCCCCAGATTCCATCCACACAAGTGTGTGGGTGGAGGAGACTTGAACTGAAGGTTCGGGGCAAAGGCAAATGTTAATCTCTCAACCAAGTGAGGTAACTGAAGTGGTTTCCAGCTACTTAGTGGGAAACAAAGTGGAGGAGGAAAGGCCGAAGAATCAAGATTGACAAAAAGTTGACAATCATTGAACCTGGTTGATGAGTATGGGGTGCTTTTTACAGTGTTCTGTCTGCTTTCAGTGGTAGGAAATTTCCAGAATGTAAAAATGGAAAAGGCAATGTTAGACATGCCTCTAGTAGTTCCTCAGAAAGTTAAACATGGGGTTACCATATGACCCAGCAATCCCACTCTTAGGTGTAGACGCAAGAGA